AAGGCTCCTAGCAGAACAGCTGAGCTGGGGCAAATCAACCCAAAGATCAGGACCAGGGGCCCGTAGCCTGGAGAGGGGCAGAGGCAGGGCACAGTAGCCTGGTGACTGGGGCAAAGCACCCCAGAGATCAGGGCTAAGAGCCTGAAGCCCAGAGAGGGGCAGAGATGTCAGCCTGCGAGGGCAGGATGCAGTGCCCAGGTGTAGTTCACGTAGGCAAAGGGCCCAGTGGGGAGTACAGGTGGGAAGGAGTAGTTCTGAAAAGCACAGTGTACGGGAGAAATGGACAAGCCTAGAAAACACACCGAGGAGTAGCTGAGATGAACAAAATGACCAGGCAGGGAGGCCTAGTCATAGGGGATGAGGCCACAGCCTAAGAAGGCTGGTGATGGATAACATCTGTGAGGCATGGGCATGCTGAAAAGGCCACATAGTAGAAAGGCCATGTAATTAGCCCTTAAGGCAGTGACCACAGACACCTGTGGTCAGGAAAATAAGATCAGGCTTGGGAAGCCCTGGGGCAGCTTCCCTTTCATAAAGCTTAACAACATCAATGCACGGAGGGCAAGAGAAGGGGAGAGTCTTAACCAAGGAGAGCTGCAAGTTGGCTAGGACTGAGTGGCCACCAGGGGGCATTACAACCACGCACGGAATGAGCACTTTTTACAATGGATAAGAGAGTGAAATTGGGGAATTGATAACTAAAATGGAATTATTAGACTAGAATATTTAATGTTTGAAGCAGGGATTAGATTAGAAAACAGACCTTTATTATGGTAGCTTTTTATTTCTGGATAAATCAACATGATTCCTCAGTTACCTTACATTCAAATCCTTCTTGTCATTCACATATAAAACCAGCCCAGTTTAACAATGCACAATCTTTGTTGCCTTGAATTCTTCACTGACCCAGTACCTCTTCAAAAGTTTTCCAAAGGAGATCATGTCAGGCTGCATTGTGGGGAAAAGCTTGTTGGATGTTGACTGGCCATTCAAAGTCCTTTTAGGATCATTTTGCTCATTCGACTCAACATGCCTATGCTTGGGAGCTTTTCCTGTTCCAGAAACAGGAAAGAGAATGAGAAGCAGAATCTACTGGAAAAGTAAAATCTTAATGAAAAAGAATGACTTGGACAGCGGATTTACTGTACCTAATCTGTTTTCATTTCTGGAACTTGCAAATTTATAGGCCTTGATGGCAGATTCCCACTTTTCAAATTCACACACTAGAAAAAAGAAAAGCAATCATTGTTAGTGTGGAAATGAGATGGTGTTGCAATAGGGTTTTTTAAAGCATATTTTATGTTAAAGTGTAAATTAAATTGAAGAATACATTTCATGGATGGTTTGTGCTAATACCAGTTTTATTCTGTAGCCATGAAACGTGAAGACCATTAACATTGTTTCATGGAGTATGCATGTTTTTAATGATTGTGCACCATATTTAGCCACCCTTTTGTTACTTACATGCCATCTTGTATTCAGATAAGTTATTGGAACTAGGGAACATCTGTGACTCATTGGTTCAAGAAAATCTATTACTAGAAAGATCAGATTTTTAAATTACCTGACTGAGAAGCAAATGCAAATTTAAACTTTTCCATACATGGTAGCTGGAAAAATCACAAGACAATCAAGATTCCTTGTTTGCTTCAGAAAGTGTAAGTGACCATGTCTGCAATATAACTAGGGAATCTACTTTTTCCTTTTTGAGAGACAGGATAGAAAAAAGTGGCTTGGACTCTGATTCTGGTTGTTACGGACTACAATAAATATGACTTTCTGAGAATAAATATGGAGCTCCATAATACCATGTTTGAACAGATATTTCTTCTGGCTATTTTTATTCTCTACAAGGAAACAACTTTTATAACTAACATACTGTGGAATAAGATAAGCAATTTGACCAGCTATACCCATAACTATAGACTAAATGTAGCTACTTGCTTTTTAAATATGATAGTCTTGTCAGTGTATGGTCCTATGCATGGGTTGCTATGAAAATGTCAAAATTAAACAAATGCTTCCTCTAATATGCCCTGATTCATGTGCAGAGGGGCTAAGAATGGACTAAATTCACTGTACTGATTAGGTTTTCCATTTCAAAAGATAGTCAGTCTACTAGCTGACACGCACAAATACACGCACACCATTTGTGTGCAAAACAGTATGTCAATAGTGGGTTTAAAAAATGAGTAAGTTAGTAGATTGCAACTGAAATCCTTCTCAAGGCTTATTGATTAGCAATGGGGCTTTGGGCATGGGAGGATTGTGTCTTTCCCTTTCTCCCTTCCCGTGTCTTGAAACTGTTTTGAAGATTTAAAATTCTAAAGCCTATTTTGACAGCATCTTTCTAAATGCCCTTTCACCCTTTCCTGTGAATAGCTGTTTTCCCCATTTACTAAAGAAATTTCCCATTATGAAAGGTAACAGAAACTTTCTGTTATCAGCATTTCAGCTGATGGATTCTATCAACTGAACACTTTCTCCAAATAAATTCACCTTCTGATTTGCAGAGTTATGATATCAATCTTGCCATTTTAAAAATCATTTCTGTTTACCTTTTATTAATTCAGGCCATGTTTCAATCCCTAATAGCATTTTCCAAGATTCCTTTACTTGCACAAACAGGAATTTTATTTTAGTGGAATATAAATTAGGAATCAATATGTTTCTGTCTGGAGTTTGTCTGAGGTGACTTTATACTACAAGCACCTATAATTGCTTTCAAAGTAGTTTCTAGTGCTGTTTGTTTACCAGAGGGTATCAGCTGAACTTAAAATTTATACTAAAAGCTAGGCAAGCATTCAGGCTACTCAAGCTAATGAGCCTTTTCTTTCTTGTCTTCTTCCCAAAATGTGGTGCATTCTCTAAAAAAACCTTTGCAGCTGATGCTTGTGTGATTGTTCCAACCCCCTCCCTGCCGTCATCCCTTCAGCAGTTCTGTCTTGCATCTCCTCCAGTCAAGTGCTGTCTATTCTCTGTTACGTTTTATGTAGAAGTTGGTGTGAACTAGTGTTATAATGAATAAATCTGTCAGAAAAAGATACTAAACTGAGATTTTCTATCCTTGACGATGCTCAAAATGGTACTGCTCAATAGTGTGAAGCTGAGGTGGGGTTTGTTTGATTGGTTGGTGTGTTGGGTTTTTTTTTTTCTTTTATCATCATGAGAGAGTAATAGTTTGGGATGGCTCATCTACCTACCACAGACGGCTCCAAAAATTAGGTTCAGATAGTAACAAAGCTGAGAAACTGGTTTAATAATATGAATGGCATGTTCTCTCTTTTTCATGCAGTGAGTCAGACTTTCTCACTGAGCAAAATTACTGTCAATGAGCACAGTTAATTGCTACATACATCACATTAATATTGATCCCTAATGATTTGCTAGCCATGGCACCATGCAGTATTCCTCATTCCTTTTAAGAATTCCTTCCAAGCCGTCTCACCTGGGGATTTGCATGTAGAAGCCATTGCTAGGTCAAGGTCTGTTCATGTTGAAATACAAACTACTCCCCACTCTTGCCAGGCTGGACCTAAAGTGTCCTTCCGTTGCCATGGTCTATGGAATGAAACCTCTCGCTTTGAAGACAGGGTGGACTGTTTACATAATTTAGATACAAGCATAATGTTTCAACTAGGAGAAGCTCAGCTTTGGCAGTAGAAACCATGTGGGTACAGGCATTCATACAGTTTCTCCTGGAAGTGCCATTTTTGTTTTGGAAGAAATTACCCATCTCCCACCCAGCAGAAATTGCTCCTGGGAGAATGAATGCCTGTACACTTTATCACTGCTAGACTCCTCCAGGGGATGAGGGTGAACTAAGTGGCAGGGAAAAGCTCCACGACTTCCACAGACTGGAGTCACCCTGGTCTGGAGAAGGCATGGGGAGGCTCCCCTCACGTAGACCAGAAGAGGTGGGTGGGGAAGCAGCCACCTACTGCTCCCCGTTGGCTCTGCAGGGAGTTTGTGCTTCTCAGTCTGCTCAGCTCCAGGCACCAAGACCCAAGTGGAGGGAGCTGAACCCTAAGCTCCCTGGCCACTCCTTATATCAGAGTTCTCAGCATGAAGAGAGAGCAGGGTCTTTGCTGTGACTCGCGGGACTGGAGTAGCTGCTGCTTCCCATGCTTTTGCCATACTGTGATCGTCCCAGTGTTGAGAAGGTGCAAGAAGCAAAGAAGAAGAGGCAGTTGCAGGCTGAATGCCTGTACTGCTCCCTCTCCCAGAATCATTTCTAGTGGTGGAAATTTTCCACTGCTAGTACTGAATACCCCTATGTGACCATTGTTAACTATGTCATCTGCAGTTTAACTGGTTCAAAATACTGCCCAGGAGCAGCCAGAATCTGGTTCCACTTTTTATATAACCTCATTCCTTGTTCGGTATCTATTTTTTTTAAATCAGGAAGCACAGTTAATAAGTAAAAGTAGACACGCCTGTCCCCTTTCCCTCTCTTCAATGCTAATGTTTGCACAGCTTAATTATTAATTGTTAAGAGGCAAGTAGCATTTCAGAGATCTAAGTAACTTGGACGGAGCACAAATTTGTGCTCAGAGGCATATTTGAGTCTCTCTTTCC